AAAACAGAGGGGGAATTTGAAATATACTCCTAATGAGGAAAAATAACTGAGATCATAAGAAGAGATTTAAAATTTGGGGTGTGCAATGATGTATAACTATGTAACATTATGAGAATAGCTGGAAATTTGAACCGGGCCCACAGTTCTCCCAAAAAATATGCTTTTTGGGGGGAGGATAACAATGGATTTGCTATATATGTACCTTTAAAAGGAGGATGTATGTGAAAATTATTAATATGAAAGATAATTATTAATACCATCAATATTAAATGGAGTTTGCTCAGATGCGGAAATACACCATGCAAGCTAAATGGAGAGAGCGGAAGAGAGAAAGGGAGAGACGAGGAGGAAGAGAGGGGTTAGGAGAGAGGGAGTAGAAGGGAAGAAAAAGAGTAGGAGAGAGAGGAGTGGAAAGAGGAGAGAGAAGGAGAGAGGAAGTAGAGAAGAGAGGGATGGTAGAGGGAAGAGAGGAGGTAGGGAGGAGGAGAGAGGGAGAGGAAGCAGGATGGCGGTGGATAGGGTATAACATGGTTTATGGAAAGCAGAAGAGCAAATGGTAGTTGCTGTGGGTTGATGGTAAGAGGAACTGAGATAATATTGGATAACACAAAATAGTGCTGGTTAAGATGTAATGATATGCCTGTGGTTACTTGTATGAAAAAAAGAAAAGAAAGAAAGAAATTTCCCAAGGAAATACATGACATTATCAGCTATTCCGATGTACAGGATGGATGAAGATTGCCTTGATGCTACCCTCACTCTCCTGGTCTTCTAGAAAGGTGTGTAAACATGGTTCTGTGGTCTTTCTCAGAGAGAACAGATGAATATGCAGCCATGGGGATGGTTAGCCCTCCCTTCGCCTTTCCATTCATATTCAATTCTAATTTTTAATCTACCTTGCCTCTTTTGAAATTTTAATTATTTATACTGTTTTCTGTTTTTCTCTTTTATTGTACACCACCCAGAGTCCTTCTATGAGGTAAGATGGGCAGTTTTTGAAAATTTGATAAATTGTACAAAAGCCTCAGAACAATCACAAGAGCAGCAGTGGCAACAGTATGGTATAACTCAAACGAATAGCTACTGGCATGAATGCAGCAACATCTCCTTTGTTCTCCTTGCCACAGTAGCCTTAATTAATGCTCCCCTCCCTGCTCTTTCATAAGACAAGCAGGAGATAAAAATATGAATTCAAGCAGCTCGCCCAAATGCCTATCTTTGTGCCTTCACAGGTCTTAAAGGGAGCATGGTAATATTTCACAAAGACAGAAATAAAATCTCCTTGTCACATCATGCCTGGAACTTCATATAGATTCATCCAAGCACTTCTCAAAAGCCCAGTTAACATGAGGTGGTATCAGGCAAAACAGATGTTTTTTTTTCTGCTTGCAACCTGCTATTAAACAACTACAAACAAGCATATAAACAACCACCATTATAGGATCACAGACCATTGGCAATGCGTTATTCATCACAACCGGTAGTCCTCAACCTACAACCACTCATTTAGTGACTGTTTGAAGGAACAAGGGCACTGATTTATGACCAGTTTTCACCCTTATGA